CCCCAAAACCCCAAAACCCCAAAACCCCAAAACCCCTAAAAATCATAAAATAATTGAATATTCAAATATTAACTAATGGAGAAGAAGGAGGTAAGCAACTGCTTAACTAGAGTTTCAGAACCTCACAGCCACTATCCTCAAAGCTTAGGTTGGCTGATGAGGTCTGTGTAGGGAACTTACCCAATAGCTATATTTCAGCTCTGACCCTTCGCTAGAAGTATTAATACACTGTTCGATTATTTAAATTTACTCTAGATCTATAACAAATACGAATCAAAAAGCCTTGTCAAAACAGGGAAGGGACATCACTCCAAATATTACGGGACGGTAAGAATGCTTGCTTCATTCAAGCCGTTGCAAGGTGGCTTAGAATTTGCTTAATTTTCTAATAAATTTACACTTATTAGAACACAAGCCAGGAGAAACATGCAGCTGGGGGTTACATGACCAAGAAGATGCCTCCTTATAATAAATCAAATTATGATTCTTCTCAGTCATCAAATTCTGCTAAGATTCCAAGGAACAAGTACGATTATGAGGGACATCCAGAAATATAAATTACGGGTAAGTTCACCTGCCTCTTTCAGATTCTATTTCTTGCTGAAACTACCGGAGGACCCCTGAACTGTTATATAGCCATAAGGGTTACAAGAACCATCCGACTGATTATGCAAAGCTGAAGGCTTCATCTAAATCTAACAGTCATTCGAGCTTGATTGACAGGAACAATTCTCCAAAGGTAAGATACCGTTGAGTGATTTCAAAACTAAGTCCACTGGGTTGCAAATTTTGAGCTCTAAAAATGCTAATTTAGGGTATGTCACAGCCATACAACTACAAGAAGGTAAGCTAGTCCATTTTTCTACTTTCTGGATATCTGATAGAACAAAGGTTGTCTAACTGCAATTCAGGTTCCAGAAAAACGCCATAAAGATACCGACAGTTATAAACCTAAATGGACTATTGAAGATTTTGAGCTAGGCAAAGCTCTTGGCAGGGGCAAGTTTGGCCAAGTCTACCTTGCACGGGAAAAGAAGTCAAAATTCATAGGTATGGAATTGGTCCAAGCATTCAAAATTTCAGTCCAACTTTCACTGACTTTCACAATATAGTTGCCCTGAAAATACTTGATAAGAAGCAGTTGATCAAATCCAAAGTGGAGTATCAGCTTAGGAGAGAGATTGAGATCCAGTCCTTCCTAAACCACAAGAATATCCTCAAGATGTATGGCTTCTTCGCTGATAAAACAAAAATCTACCTGATCTTAGAGTATGCTCTGGGAGGAGAACTATACAAGCATCTGCAAGCTCAACCCAATAAGAGGTATAGCGAGACTAGGACTGCCAACTACATCAAACAAGTAGCAGAAGCTTTGTCCTACTTGCACCTGAAGGATGTCATCCACAGAGACCTAAAGCCTGAAAATCTTCTAAACTCTCAAGGAACTATTAAAATAGCTGACTTTGGCTGGAGTGTCTATGCACCTCAGGAAGGCCGAAGAGAGACTCTTTGCGGAACTCTTGACTACTTGCCACCTGAGATGGTTAACGGGGATACTCATGATAAATAATGTCGACATCTGGTGCCTAGGAATCTTGTGATATGAACTGATCTGCGGCTACCCTCCCTTTGAAACAAACACCCATGATGAGACTTATGAGAGGATTAAATAAAAGAGATTTAGGTAAGCTAGCTTTATATTACACGTAGAATTCCCTGACCACGTGAGTGCAGGAGCACAGGATCTAATCTCCTCAATTCTAATGCTAAACCCTTCGAAAAGACTCAGTCTAGACGATATCATGGGACACCCATGGATTGCTGAAAATGCGCCGTTACACAGAGAAGATGATTAAAATTAAGAAAAACGATAATTTATGAATTCTCACTCAGTTTCAATTGAATAAATGCAATTTGGGGTTTTGGGGTTTTGGGGTTTTGGGG